GCTGAAAGAAAGACCCAGGAGGGATGATCGGGAAAAAAAACAAGCATGTTCTTTTGCAAGACACCGTGTCCCGGGGGGGGGATTGCAGTGGAAATTGTGCTCTCATCACCTTAATGAGACCAGAGGTGATTTACCACCAGGCTGCTTGGTTTATAGGCAGATGGCACCCCCCGCCTGTGAAAGTAGGCGAGAAAGATGTAGGAGGAGCCTGCACGGGACTCCGGGGTGTGAAAATGTACCGTTGGACAAAACCCCTAAGCCTCTGGTGCCATGGATTTACTCCAGAACCCTGTGTAGCAAATGAGAAGCCGATGAGCCGCCCAACCCCACGGGTGTCTGAGACACATTTGGTTTGGGTACACGCTGGCACTGACTCTCGTCCGGCTAATATACCCCCTGTATTTTGGAAAATCTGCCGAGCAACTAGCCAAAGAATGTTAGATGCGCGGCATCTGCATATCTTGCCACCGTGGCTGGTTCAGGGTGTGGGTGTGTGTGGATGGGGGGAAGGGGGTGTTGTCATGCTGAATAGTTCCTGATGAAATCTCTTGAGACTGCCTGTTATGCAGGAATCAGGATGTCTGTGTCGGTCTACATCCCCGTGTCCTAGGCTCATCCTTTCAGTTTCTTTCCCGGGGACTTGATTGTGGTGGTCTTTCTAAAATAAGTCATTGGCAGGGAGCTGCTCACAACTTGGTATGGTTCCTCTGGCCAGCCTGGTCTGCGATTCCACAGGAAATCCAACTGGTTTGTTTGGCATAAAGCTATGGTCTATAAAAGGGACAGTGGGAAGATTTTGGTGTAATGGAGTGAAGGGACATCTTTAGGAGCCATAGGGCAAAAGTTCCTTTGAACTTGTTTTCAGGATTGAATATGACAGGGCAGCTTAACTTTTTCAACCACTATGGGACCACAAATACAGTCATTTATGTGATTCCGTGGGGGTGTGGTAGTCTGTATTTACATCTGAAGTATTAGAAAGCATGAGGAGGAGAGAGAGAGAGAGAGAGAGAGAGAGAACTGAGAACCTTCTCCTGCCCAGTTTGAACAATGGGAGCTTTTGCGATTGTCTTTTATAACAACAGGATCAGGCCCCGTACATGCATCTAACAATTCACACCACAGGTCATGTGCAGCAGGTTAACTCACTTTTCTGCTCCTCTCCATTGTTAGAAACAAGCTTCATCTACTTAATTAAAATGTACCATACAGGATGTTTAGGTACCAGGCTGATGTGGAATTGTTTTTAGACATTATTATGAGAGAATTCACGGTTTTTTTAGAATCATTTCAGTTTCTGTAATCTCTCTCTCTCTCTCTCTCCCCCTTTTTGATGTTTCATAGTGTTTACTTGTAGCTTTAGCTGGAGCAGTTAACCCCAGTTACTGACCCATTGAGCTATAAGATTACTGTTTATGAAGTTATCTTAAAGCTACCTCGAAGAGAAATTGCATTCCCGAGTTTCGCTCTGAGCTGGGTGTAAAAGCAAAAAGGAATGATTGCAGATAATCTTTCCATTGCATTTTAAGTTGGTTAGAATGAATATGTGTGCTTAGCTGCAGGCTTTTATTTTACCATAAACATTGTACAGAGAGATAGCAGTAATTTGAAAAAAAAAAGAAAAACAACCAAACAAGGGACATAGAAAGTTGCTAATATTTCCCTTGCAATTAACTCATTGATGCATAGAAAACTGCAGCTTTGTGTCCATCCCCATATCGGATATAAAGATGCCTGCGAAATATAAACATTAAACATCCGTCTCTGACTGTCTTGTTTTTAAAGCCTATGGCTATGCACTGGGTGTTATTGCTAGATCTAAGTACATTTTGTTCTAAGTAAGAATCATTAAGTGTTTTCCATCTTCTTCAAATGGTGCCTATGCTTTACAGTACTGTATGACAGCCACTGCATATTGCTGCTGATTTTATGAAGATAAAGAGCCTTCCTAACCCATGTAATGGAATGAGGGTCGGTCTGTGGCCAACAAGGTATTGGAACAATATCTCCTTTCAGTCAAAAACTTCTGATACTATATGTGTGAACCTGAGGACAACAGTAGTCTAGATAATTGCAAAGGCAAAGACATTGATCAAGATTCTATGGAGCAGTGGGACAAAAGAATACAATTATTGGAGATATCCTTCTTAGAGTGAGAGAGCCAGAAGTAATGCTGGAAAAAGGAACAAATGCAGAATTCCAAGTGTATTAATTTTGTCGTTAAGTTAGAGGACTGATAGTCAAGAGGTCTGTGTTTTAATCCTATCTATGCTGCTGATTTGCTGACACCTGGTGTAGATCAATTTTACCTGAGTGCTACAGTTTTGCTCATCCGCTTGCTAGAGGTATCAGCGTTTCTTAGTGAGCTCTCAGTCTTCTACAGCATTTCATTTGAGGGTTATGGCAGTCTTGCTGTAGCTAGTTACTATGTGGAGTTAGTTGAGTGGGTGTTTAAGAAACCTGTTTGATTCTGCATTGGAAAGGAATAAATTGTTTGTATGTTGTTTTGGGGAGAATTTCACTGAGGTTCATTTCTTTGTACCTGGTACCCTGCTGAGAATGAAGCGTCTTGGTTATTAAAAATACATTTAACAATTTACAACTTGAAAGTGGGGGGAAATATCCTGACCTGCCAAGTGCTAATTGAATCCACATACTGATTTGTTTGATCTTTTGAAAGCCTGTATGTGGTGAATGTGTGGTCTAGAGGCACATGAGGTATTCTGATCTTGTGATGATGGGGGATATAGAGAAGGCAAGGAAAATATTTATGGACCATTTGTATGATTTGGTTCTGAATGTCATTTAAAGTGTCCTTGCCCGAGCATTCTGCTTATGGACTTGAGGTTGAAAAGAAGATCATATGCTCTATCCATCTGGTTGGTATTCCAGTGTGTAATACCTTTCAAGACTGTGTGTCTATCATCACTCTTCATTCAATTGCACACACAAATTACCTTCTGAGCAGAGACATTGCTCCTGAGCAAACACCTGCAGTTTCTGTTCATGTCATTAAGTTTACTTAGTAATTATCTGCCCTTGCTATATCCTTCAGAATGAGGCATACTTGGTACACTCATAGTAACATATTAGCTCCATTTTACAGATCGGGTAACTAAGGTTCAGCGAGATCAAGTGACTTGCCTCGGGCCACAGAGGGCTTCTGCTATCAAAGCTGAGCTTAGAATGCAGAGGTTCCTGGTCCCAGTCATGTATTTGGACCACTTGACCATTTTCCTTCATCTTTTTCTTTCATGAATTCAAATCTAGATTTTTCTAAAAATTCTTGCAAATTCACTCCTGAGATCTTCTCAAATCTTTATCGCCCTCTTGGATAACTTGCCCAATTTATTGTCCTCCTTGGTAAAATGTTGCTACAAACTGTGCATGAAATTTTAGTGGGGTGGTGTGATTGCGCCTGTCGACTGTCAGAATTGCTTCCGTCATGAATGGGCTCTAATTCTTCACATCAAAGGGCAGCAGTCACTGCAACGCATAGAAGCAGCCCATTGTCGTTGTTTTTAAACAGCACAGTTGTTGCATAAGAAAGTACTTCACTGCTTTGCAAAGAAAAAAGTGTACACTACCCTTAACTCAATGCAGGTCATCTTCCTTCCTCTTTAGCCACTCATGAAATCAAGGTGTTACATGTAATATTGTCACGGTGCGTAGATCTGCAAACATATGTCATCATTTACATGCTTGCTTATTTACTGCTTGTAGATATGTCCCATTCATGTAATTAGAGCTAGCATAATGCTTCCTTTGTGCTGAGATATTATGTTTAGTCTCCTTTTTAAATGCACGTACTACTCAGTGAATAATTTCTTCATGTGTGCTGGTGGGAATCTAACTTCTGTCCTTTCATAGGTAAAGATTAGCCCTACAGAGGTGAAATGAGCTCACATACTATAAAAAACAAGTGTCCTCTTTGATACTATAATTGAATTAAAGATCGAGGTGGACTTTCACTAATACAGAATTATAATTGCTACTATAATATTTCCATAGTGATTTATAGAAGGCGAATGCAATAATATGCATCATATACTACGATGGAAAATTACTTATGGTACAAGGGACCCGTGGGGCAACTTGATGTATCTTTGCTGTATTTTTAGTCCTGCTTTCTGAGGAAATGTGGAGTCTGAGACTGAGAGCAGGAATTTAACACCAGAGGCTGCTGTTTCTGTTGTTTTGGATGTTGCTGCTGTTGTAAAGGAGCAGATGGTCGGATTCATTTATAGAAAATAGAAACTTGTTTCATTTTCCATTTCTACTTTGAAAGAACTTGTGCCGCATTGTATCATTTGGCCTACCCATCTAGCATGAATATTTGCAAGGATGCTGTTTTTATAGTCTGTTACAGATCATTAGAAGACAATAAACAACATTGTAATGCATGTTGCAAGTAGATTATGAAAATCGCTCACAATACAAGCAAGTCTAAATGTATTATTTCACCTTTTGTAACTTACTCATCTAACTTTAATTGACGTGTTTGTCCTCCTTCTCGATGACAGCCAATTATCCAGTAATGTTGGTGATGTAGGAGAACAGGAATTGCCATAGCCAATCAGGCAAAAGATTCGTAAGAACAACCAGACTGGGTCAGACCAAAGGTCCATCTAGCCCAGTGTCCTGTCTGCCCACAGTGGCCAATACGAGATGCCCCAAGGGGAGTGAACAGAACAGGGAATCAAGCGTTCCCTGTCACGCATTCCCAGCTTCTGACGAAGTGGCTACAGACACTATTCCTGCCCACCCTGGCTAATAGCCATTGATGGAATGATCCACCCTCTAATTTAGAGTCCTCTCTAATAGTACCAGTTTCTTGGGTGAAACCCAGAAGTGGTTTGCTGTGGAAAAATATACTCGTGTGTGAATCTTCTTCCAAATTCTTTCAAAAAAACAAGTAAACAGATATGTCCCAATTCTCTGCAAAAATTTTTACCTATAATTGCTCTGAGTGTCTCATTATCCATATATTCTCCTCACAGCTGCCTTTAAGAGTCCATCAGCTGCTTCTACGGTCTCTTCCACTGCTGACAGCCTGGAGTGGATTGTTCTAGAAGACTGTTTTAGTAAGCAAAAGAAGGCAATATATAGAAATGCTATGATTATAAAAGCAAAATGTTCCTTAGTCATTTATGAATTATTGTGAGTCTTGTCTTTAGAGAAGAAGGCTTATCTTGTGGTTAGGGCACTGCCCCCAGGAACTGTGAGTATAGATTAGCTCTGCCACAGACTCCCTCTGTGACCCTAAGCATGTTACTTAATCTACGCGCCTGCCTCTCAGCCCCATCTGTACAATGGGAATAATAAGGCTTCCCTTTGTCTGCCTTGTCCATTTGCATTGCTAGCTATTTGAGACAGGGCCTGTCTTACTACCTGTTCATGAAATATCTACAGTAATGATGCCCTGTCTTTCTTGAGGGTGTCTACACTGTGGCACTAGGTCGAAATAAGGTACGCAATTTGAGCTAAGTAAATTGTGTACCTTATTTCGCGCTTACTTCGAGATGCACAATTTTAAAACTTGGAGCAGTCTACCCAGAGGCAGAATAGTGTGCCCATTATTTTGATTACATTTTGAAATAACGGGCACACTGTCAAGATGTGGAAAATACTATTTCAGGATGCCAGAAGTACCCCGCAATAGCCGCAGTGTAGACATACCCACAGTGTGTTTAGGAATGAGTGTGAGGTGACTAATTTGCTGACTACTACTGTGTGTTTTGGAATCAGTTAGCTTAACAATAAGGAAAATGATTTTACAATGCACGCATGAGAATTGGGTGTTGAAGGGCAATTGACTTTCAATGAGAGTTTGGAAGCTGGCTTTCCTGTCTGTGCCTTTGAAAGCCTTCCCCAAAAAGGTATTATCTGCAGGCAATAGAATAACTAGCTGGAGTTGGAAGACTTTCAGCAATGGTCATGGGACACAGAATGCTCTACCGCCTGCTCACCATTTTGCACCCTGCCAAGTTTAGGAGTAACCAGAAATAGTTACCAACTCACGCCTGGCTAGCTTGTACGAATGCAATGGAAGCTCAATTCAGTCCGCAGGGGGCAAATGTTCATGTCACACAAACCAGCCACCATTGCTGGAAAAAATCATTTAGCAGAAGCCTCATTAAACAGACCCATCAAGAGCCAGGCTTGAAAAGTCATCCGAACAGTGGAAACGTGCACTACTGCTACCTGCGCTCCATCCTTTCTGCATACAAAGGGGCTGAGTCTAGATTGGCATGATTTTCCGGAAATGCTTTTAACGGAAAACTTTTCCGTTAAAAGCATTTTTGGAACAGAGCGTCTAGATTGGCACGGACGCTTTTCCGCAAAAGCACTTTTTGTGGAAAAGCATCCGTGCCAATCTAGATGCGCTTTTCCGCAAAAACGCCCCGATCGCCATTTTCGCAATCAGGGCTTTTTTGTGGAAAACAAATCTGAGCTGTCTATACTGGCTCTTTTGCACAAAAGGGACTTTTGCCCGAATGGGAGCAGCATAGTATTTCCGCAAGAAGCACTGATTTCTTACAGTAGGAAGTCAATGCTTTTGCAGAAATTCAAGCGGACAGTGTAGACAGCTGGCAAGTTTTTCCAGAAAAGTGGCTGATTTTCTGGAAAAACTGGCCAGTCTAGACACAGCCAGGGGTTTCTTTCTGGTTCCTTTCACAAATATACAGTTCCCCTAACACCTACTTCTAGAGAGAAAGCAAGACATACGATAAGGATGTCAAAGCTAGGAAATCTTCCCAGGCAACAACGAGGGAGACAGTGGGTTGGAATTTAGAGGGACCTGGTCTATTCCCAGCTTCCACTTACTTTCTGTATGACCTTGGCTCTTTGTGCCTATTTTCCCACATTTCCTTTGTCAACTTGTACACAATAAGATCTTATGGTCAATGTACAGTTTCTAGCAAAAAGGGACTGAGCTCAGTTAAACCCTTAGGTCATGTCTTCTCTAAGCGGAAGATTGATGTTGCCTTGATCAGTCTTCTGGGGTTCGATGTAGTGAGTCTAGTTAAGACCTGCTAAATTGAACTCAGATGATACCCCCATTGGCGGCCAGTACTCCTCCTCCTGCAAAGGCAAAGGGAAGCTGAGGGGAGTGTTTGCTCCCATTGGCTTCCCACTGTGGGGATGGAAGGGAAACTTGAATCAAGGTTCATTGACTCCAGCTATGTAATTAACATAGCTGGAATTGCGTATCTTGATTCAACTTTCCCCTTTAGTGTAGACCTGGCCTCAATGCTACAGTAACTCCTTAGTAGCTGGACTGAATTCAAAAAGTTTCCATTTAAATTAATAATGGGAGAAAAAAGTGTTGTTTAGGGTTTTTTAAAGAACACAGCCAGTTTTTTTAATGCTGCTTATTTTCTCTCAAGTTTAGAATGACCGTCTTTTTATTGCTGCAGAATCACAAGAGAACTGTGTTGGGTCATTGCAAACAAATGAAAAATCAAAGCGTTCGTTATTTCTTTAAACATGCTGTAAGATCTAAAGCTTTGCTGAAAAAAATGTTTTTCTATGAATCTTCCTTAGTGAGCTTTTGTTTTTCTTCCAATCTAACATGTTTTGTTATCAATTTGTGGGTTTTTTTTCCAGGGTATTATCATAACAAGAGATTAAAGTCTTTTAAATTGCGCTTGACAAGAACTTCCGCAATAGACCACAATCTGCCCGTTCTCAAATGCTTATCATCCTGCATATCCTACGGCTCTTTACAATCCATAAAATCAGTCAGAGCAAAACTCCTATTGAACTGGGTAAAATGTAGAAAAGAAGCCAAGTTTTAGGAATGGAAAATGCCTTCCGCCACACTCAAGTAAGAGTTCAAGGTTTAAGAGAGGCGAGGAGTCCTGTGGCACCTTATAGACTAACTGAAGTGTAGGAGCATAAGCTTTCGTGGGCAAAGACCCACTTCGTCAGATGCAAGGTTTAAGAGGTATCACAAATTGGAGTCCAGTGGGCATCAGAATGTTGAATCTAGACTACAGACTGCCATGTAAGGCATCCAGTGGGGAGTGAGGGGGAGAGAGAGAGAATAAATATGAAAGTGAATATTAATAGGTGTTTGCTGAGAGGTGCCCTTGGTATGGAAAAAATATTTATGTAATGTCAGAACTGAGCATCTACACTTTGCATGCATGCAAGTGCTCTAGTCTGCAATGACAAATATGGACAAGCAATGCCTATGCACAAGACATGATATGGGCAGAGAATGTAACCTCTACGTCAGCGCTTTTTAAGACCGAGTAACACCAAACAATATTTTTTTTTATGAGGAATACCAAGGATTTTTTGGTGAGTGCAAAAAAAAAAAAATAAAAAAAAGGTGGAGGGAGGAAGTTATTGAGCCCCCCCAAAAAAAGTGGCCATTTTGAACTTTGTTGTTCTCTGCGGCACACCTCTGACTGCCTCCGTAACACAATTTAAGCGTCACTGCTCTAGGTTTTATACTGTGTTTAGAATAAGGCTGCCACATTCCATCTTTTCTCTCTGATTTGGGAGGGGGGTACATGGAAAGACCAGTATTCACTAGGTCTGAAAGAATACCCAGCTAGTAAATGCATAGTTGGCCATTGTCTCAGAGATGTGCAGACATCAATCATCTCATTTGATTTTGTAAAAGTCATCACCTCAAGCGGCATGTGCATTTTTTTTGTTCTTGGCTCAGCAGACCAATGTAACGCTGCTTGTAGCCAATGTAGAAATGGCTGGCTGTGCCCTTTCAGTTCGGCAAAATAGACTTCATCTTGGTAATTTAAGATAAGGGAAGGTTAGCTTCCAAAAATCCGTCTCCTGATGGCTGTTCATTAGAATTATTGAGGAGGAAAGGAATGACAAACACTAGAATCCACAAACGCTAGAATCTGAAGTCAATATGAAGTTTCACAGTCTTCTCTTAATTCCAAGTGACCTGGAATAGTGCCACACTGCGAGGCACCGATAACAGTTATCTGATTTAAGGAAGCAGCGTCAAACGTGCAATTAACTGAAATGTAAATTCACTGTTCTAATTGGCTGTGTTTTCTCTGTGTGTGGGGGGTGGGGAGCCTGGGGGATTGGGTTCTTGCATTCTCCATTGCATCTCCTCCACCTGAAGTGTGGGTGAATCCGTGTAAAGAGTTGAAGATGGGATTTTCAGAAGAGTGACAAAGTAAATTAGGGCTGGGAACTATAATGGAGCCTAAGGGAATTAGATGCCTAACTCCCGCTGAATTTTTCAATTTGAAAATCTCACGCCGAGTGAATATTTTATTTGAATGTTGCCTTTCCGTTTGGAGAATGGCCAGGCAGAATGAGATCTTTTTTATATATATGTTTCAGTTGGTTCATGTTTTGTGAGTGTGGGTCGGGAAGAGAGAGAAAAATCTGAACTTAATTGCCTATTTGTGAGTGATTGTCAGTCCTATTCTATTACCTAGTCGGATAAGTGTAACTTTTTATCTAGTAAAAGGGCTTTTGTGAAACTACATTTTTTTTTTTGTGAGCATTTGTGTTAGTAAAAGTCAGAGAGTAAATGTAAAATAGGCATACACGGCTAAAGTGAGAATTGTTTTTACCTATGAGCTACTACTTCTAGAATCTTTTCTTCAGTAGATTAGCTGTAGTAATAAATTGTATTCTTGAAATGAATTTGCTCTCCTTAATTGAATTCAACCTTTTATATAAAATCCCATCTAATCTACACAATCACACAAGCGTACATGGCTTTTATGGTGACGAATGCCTCGCGATTTCTTGGTAATAGGCCAAAACCAAGACTGCTGTAAATCTGAGGATAGACATTACCCTTCGAAATATTATGTATGAAATTCCTAATTCGGGGGATTTTTATTGCTAGTATATAATGTCAGAAATAAGTGTGTGTGTGTGTGTGTGTGTGTGTGTGTGTGTGTGTGTGTGTGTGTGTGTGTGTTTGAGAGAGAGAGAGACTCTAGTTTCTGTTCATTTTTTGCATAAATGTATACAATGTAAATGGTTTATTTAGAGTTCAACTTTAATTCTACATAGCATTTAGCAACACTGCTTGTCAGTGTGCTGTACTGGAATTGACTAATGAATGCAGTGGACA